GCTCCAAACCTTCGTATCTACTTGAAAAGAGGTATCATATAGTAAAGTATAATGATGGTAAATTAAACCTTTTTAGACTTGCCAAGCTTACACAAAACTACTTTGAATACCACTACTACGAGTACCAGTGCTGCCGATAGGAATATCTGTTAAGTGGAGCATGATAAGAGAAATTTGGTGAGCCTTCTTGTTGAAGTGAGCCTAGATAATGCACGTGACGGATATATCTATCAACTAGGTACTTGTACCGTACTAGTATGATACAGTATCATAATATTATAATACCTGATTCACATCCCCACAGTGACACAGCCTCCACCATCTAGGTTAAGGTCCAACTTGGCCCATTTCACGCACATCACTCACGACAACATTCTACCAGTCAACCCCTCACTAAACTACCGGTACTCGAGTATCATAGGAATGAGTATAGACTAACACACTCCCCTACCCTAGTAGACTACACACTACTCAAGTACCGGTACAGGTATATGAGCGCAGTACTAACCATAACTTCCTCCCTAGGCGGTTCCCGCACCTCTTCTCTCAGGCGGGGAGATGGAATGCCTTCGTTCCATTCCATCCCCAGAACCATAACCCAGAACCGACACCACCGGCACCCGGGTAGTTACGCCACGCAGGGCGGGGAAACCCTGCATGCAAAAGGGCAGACCTTCCGCACAAAGCAATACTCGAGTAGTAGTGACGTCAATGGCCAAACCAAACTTTGCATTCCACTGCGGGAGCTCAAACGCGGACATGGCAACCGCTCAACCGCTCAAATGGTACTCGTACCAGCAAATCACAGTGCGCACATACCTGTAATAGCAAAAATAGCTCGCTTCCTCTGTTCTTTGTGGTTGCTTCCCGCTTCATCCTTTCTAAGGTGCCCCTCCCCGTACCGAGCAACGCAGCGCGCAGGACATAGACTAGCAATTGCTTGCTTCTGTGAATTCCGTTCTGGACCGGATGGCTGGTCTGGTTTGTTAGTTCCTTATCCCTTGTTTCTTCCTCAATCCACTGTGGGGCAGTTGGTTGATATAAAAGAAAGGGAGAAGAGGAAAAAATAAAGATAGAAATAAAAATAAAAACAAAAATAAAAAGGAATGTTTTCCGCCCAAGGTCGCACAAAATTTTGTTCCTGACCGGAGATTACGTTTTTCCCTGGTGTTGTGTAGGACCGGTTTCTGACCCATCACAGTGGGATGTTTGGACTTTAGTCATTTACCCTACCGGTATTTAATTTTGGCGAAGCAGCCGAGATTCAGACAGCCTCCTTCTTGTTGGCCGTTGCCACTCGAGTATTCGTACTGTGCTCCACCGTCCCTGCTGCCGTGCGATTTACTCGTACAAGTACTATACATGTACGGGATGCGGTACTCGAGTACTTGACTCGTACGAATACCGGCAGTACTCGAGTACTCGTACAGTACACAGATATGCTTGGGGCGCATGTCCAGTTATCGAAGGAGTCGCCGCGTTTTATGCAGGGAAGGGCAGGTACCGCACTCATAGCTTTCGGTGTCAAGTCGTGGTGTACCGGTAGGGGAGTTGATTTGTGAACAAGGCTGTATTGGTCAAACTACCCATAGATACCCCCCCTCGGGCAAATAATAAATGGCAAAGTGTCCACGGAATTTCTTCCCTTTACAATTGATAGGCCTAGATACGTGCCGGAAACGACCACTCAAATTGTGTCGTCCATGTTCACGGTCCAACCCTGGTATCAAAGTACCGTACTCGAGTGTACTCGAGCATAGCTGTGTTGGGGGAGGCTGATTGTCAAGATATCTACCGAGACCGTAGTCGAGTGGAGGAGCCCAGGACCATTGCAGGAGGAACACACCGGTAGTCTCCCGGGAGGAGAGGAAGTGGTTGGCGGTGGAGGGAAAAGCAATTGGGGTATCGTTATACCACTGTTGTCGGAGAGAGTTCGTCGGTCAATAATCTACGTAATGCTTGATGTACCTGTAGTCCAAACCAAAAGCCAAGGATGAGGCGAGGCGGTGGTGGTGGATTTACTCCAGTACCTGGGGTACATGAGGATTTGCTTTTACCGCACGCAATTCGGGTATCTCCCCCACTGCATTGGCTGTGGGGGATTCTGGCGTATCGTATTTGCCACGCAGTGCTTGGCTCATCTGTCGAGTTTTTCCTACCAGTACGAGTACTGTACAGTAGCTTGCTCTGTGTCGCGAGCGGGAAAATAAAAGCCTCAAAGGGCGGTAAACCTAATCTGCTACCCCAAAATGTGACGGTGCTGGGGTTTGTGGTGTATGGGTAGCACGGTAGTAGCGCTATTGGCGCTTCACCAAAAGCGAGGTACGAGTATTCCTCTGCAGCTCTGTCGTAGCATGCATGTACGAGTACTTGTGCGCTAGGTTCGGCGGCTTGAAGGTTGAAACAATTTGCCAAATGCGGTACTTTGCGGGGGGAGTAGTGTGGAGGAGAGAGCGAAATATCCGGTTACCTGTCAGATATCAAGTTCACTTGGAAAAAATATACCACCAAGGTACCGGTACCGGTACCACCCCCCGACACCAACGAGAAGGAAAATAAGGCGAACGGCCTCGACAAGTGGAAGGAGGACGAGCGCAGCTCGTTGCTTTCCGGGCCACAAGTTTTTGCTTTTTCGCCAGACCTTCGACACTGCCAGTTGCCGACCGACAGCTACGACAACGCCGGCCAAACCGAGGCAGTGAAAATTAGGGGTAACAATAGAACAAATGACGATAGCTAACTAATACGGTAGATTTTGCGAGGAAGTTTCGAGTTCCCTGCCTTTCGGCATGGTGGGATAAGGTGTTTGGGAGAGCTGGTGGAAAGAGGTGGGATTTTGTGTGATGGTTGCCGTTTTGGGGCATGAGTTTGGGGGTTTCACCCCCCGCGCGAAGATTCGTGGGGTTGAATGTGCAAAAACAGATATAGTGTGACAACCCACTTATGCAATCACGTGTGAGTGGAAAGGGAGCCTACTGTATTCCAGTAGAATAAATTCATCTCAACTCGAGTTCAGGTGCGGTACCGGTAGTCTACGGCAGTCTACAGTACCCTCAGTGTTGTCTGTACTCGAGTACGGTACCGTATTCATCAGGTCGCGGCACAGCTGCTCATGCTCGCTGCTCAAGTGGCGATACCGCACAAGGAAACTGAACCTGCCAATATCGTAATGCCGTAAAAATAGTACCCTATCGGGCAAGGAGCCGCGAGCTTCCGTTGCTATTCCCATCCGAACGACCCTGTTGGATTCAGATCGCTGTTTCCTTCCGAGATAAATTACCTGTACGAGTCCGGTAGTAACTCGTACAGTAGGTGGGAGAGCTTGTCAGCCCTTGCCTGAAGATCAGGTCGTACTGCCCTTGGTGCAAATGATTTCTCCCCGTACAGTATTCCAAAGTATCATATCAACACAGCCGAGGTATGAGCTCTAAATTACTCGAGTGCGCGAGCACCAGTAGAAGGTGTTTGCAATGAGAACGCTGAGATTCATGGATGGCTGCAGTATTGGCGGGAGGCCCGCATAGTCTACCGTCAGCCGCAAGCTACAACGGAAGGGTTACTGTATCTTGCCACGACTTGCACTGGCGAGTTATTTCTTTGAGAGTTTTTTAATTTCCTCCCTTCCTCTATACTTTATTCACCCCAAAACTGGAGCACCCCCGTGCGGCGAAATCGGTAGGAAGTGAGTCTCATCTCCACAGCCACCAGACCTCACAAAACTCCCAGCAGTCGGAGATGAGACCACGCTAGCCTCCTGCTAGCTTTGGAGATAATTACGAGAAGGCACGCTTCGCAGAGTGATCAAAATCCTTCTACCGGCTGGTCGAAAGTTGAAACAAACCACAGCGCACACCTGCCTCCGATATTTCTCGAGCTCAGCCCGAACTGATAAGGGAGGAATCAGAGATTTCGGCACAGATCACAGATAAATTCCTGGTCTATCAAACAGCACCGCTATCCTTTTAACCATCTTGACCTCCTTGCTGCCCCTATCTCTCTCAAGCAAGGAAGGGAAGCGCCGGAGCATTGAAGTGGCATATTTGGTATAATTTAAGGTGTGGTGTGTGTGTGCTGAAGTGAGCAATATATCGAATTAGAAATATTCCAGATCCTTTAGATGGCAACCGATCGCAAAACATGTCTGGGACCCCACCTGAATTTTGCAAACGATACAATTTGGGGGAGTCCAACCCCAGAGGACATGCAGGGCAGCAGGCAAGTGTGCAGCCTTCCCACGCAGCCGCACACACGACCACCAACCACCATTCCTGCCGCGAGGATGGGGGTCGACGTCAAGGGACCAAGGCGAAACAATGAGCGCACAACACTATCGTACAGTAAAGCATGCCGCCTTAATTTCGCTTTTGGAGAAGAATACCGTTATTCGGGAGCTTGAAGTTGCCCTTTGCCGTGATGAGGTGTGAAGGGTCGCTTTTGGTGATTATAGCGGCCGCTTACCGTATCCCGTATCCCCCTTCCTCCTCGGGGCGCCGCGGATGAGTGCTTTGTGGCATCCTGGGCGAACATCTCGTGTCTGGGGAATACCGTAACAAGTGGTGTCAGCTCGACGACCGAACTTCTTCCATGATCACGCTGATTTAATACTATTCGAGTAGACTACCGTAATACACCTCCGTATCCGATGTGGAAGCGAATATCTCAGAGCTTTTGGTAAAGGTTTGGGGGGCTTGTCAACCTCATGACTTTGACCGGTTGGCGACTGGTGAGATCTCGTTCAGTTGGAAAATATAGCGCAACCAGTTTTTCCCGCTGCGTCATTCGCTCCTGGCTTCCCCAGCAGCAGCAGGTGATGGATGACCCAAAACACACAGTACGAGTAAAACCCCTAGCATGTTAGCCTCGGTGCCACAACACCGGTAAGGTCGGGGGTTGGTGGGTTGGGATGGCATCAACGCCCTGACTATGTATCATACACCCATCATCCGCCAACACCGCTCACCACCACTCAAGCCGTGCAATTCTGCTCAGATACCGGTACGAGTAGACAACCCGGGGGCCCAGTACACACGTTTGTTTATCATTCGCTTTGACTGGCCAATGTGGTATCTCTGCCGGTATCGCCCCTCCACACTCCTTTCTCATCCACCCCATCCATCCCTTCTTGCCCTCCACCCCCCTCCCCACCACCTCCCTTCCGCCTCCCTTCGCTGCGCTACGGTACACGAGACACTGCCCCCCACCCAAGCACTTTCTTTCGCTCAATTACCGGTATTGTTCTCCCCTGAATTCTGCCCCCCCCCTCCTTTATTGCTGTAGGTTGGAGACCTACTTTCCGACTCCCTCTTTATCCTCCCATCGGCTCTCCTCCCCCCCCGATACACTGCCATAGAACTGATTCCTATCGACCTGATCATCTATTAGCATTTACAGCTTGTCGGTGTGATGGCAGTATTATTTTGACGACTTCTCGCCCTTTCCTGTCTCTCCCTCTTCCTCCCTCCCTCTATATCTCCCATCATCCAGCCAAGAGCGACGACAAATCCAGCCAAACCTAAACTGCCAGGTCCTCTTAACCCATAATGCAGTTTTCTAAGGCCTTTACCCTGGGCTTTCTAGCCGCTGCCTTTGTCACAGCAACTCCGGTCCAGAATCAGATTGTCCTTAGTCCGGGTGAAGTGGCTTCGGTGCACGATGCGCCAGCATCGCAATCCGAACCTAGGAAGTTGAAGGGGCGATTTTTGCACGTCACTGGTGAGCCGTTTTGCCTGACAGACAATATTGGGTGATTTGGGATTAACGTTTTGTAGACATTCATCCTGATCCATTCTACCTCACGGGCTCCGATCCCAGTGAGCGTTGCCACCGCGGTAAGGGAGGCGCTGGTGTGCTTGGTGCTGAAACCTCGGGCTGTGATACCCCGTTCAGTTTGGTGAACGAGACCTTCGCCTGGATTAAGGAAAATCTCAGAGATGTCAGTTTCTCTGCTCTGCGAAACCCTGGCATTTGGGCAAGGAACGGGGGGCTGACATGGACAAAATACAGGAAATCGACTTTGTTATCTGGACTGGCGACTCTGCAAGACACGACAACGATGTCAATATCCCACGTAGCGATAGTCAAATTTTCACGTTGAACCGACGCATTACCCAGGGAATGGTCGACGTTTTTGGGAAGCCGGATAATCTTGGTGATGATGACCCGACAAATGACTTGGTTGTCCCAATGTAAGCCTCAATCTTGCCATCTTTGGAACAGAGCTGGCTTCGGGTGGTATCTTTTACGACTTCTTGCGGTTTCTAAAATTGATGTTTAGTATTCCGACTCTTGGAAATAACGATATCTTTCCTCACAATATTATGACGGACGGTCCCAATAAGATCACGCGTGAATTCTCGGACATCTGGAGGAATTTCATTCCGCAAGACCAGTATGACTTGACCAATCATCAATTTCTCTATCCGGTCACTTGACTAACATTTGTGCCCCAGATATCACGTGTTTGACAAAGGAGCCTATTTTTGGACCCAAGTCGTACCGGGCACCAACGGCAAGATGGGTTTGGCTAGCAAAGGCGGCCTTTCAGTTATTTCACTCAACACTATGTTTGTTTGCCCTATCTCTCTCTCTTAGGGTTGGACTTTGATTCCTAACAGCAGCCTTAGCTATTTCTTCGGTTCCAACGCTGCTGTCGATGGCTGCGATCTCAAGGGCGAACCAGGTTATGAGCAAATGGAATGGTTGAAGATCCAATTACAATTGATGAGGGATATCGGGATGAAAGCCATTCTGATTGGCCACGTTCCGCCGGCTTGGACAAGTACAAAGCAAAGTTGGGACGAAACGTAAGCATCCTCGATACCTGTACAATTTCTTTACTAAGCAACCTTGCAGGTGCTGGAAGAAGTATGTTTTGTGGTCCAAGCAATACCGTGATGTTATCGTGGGGTCTATCTATGGGTATGATTTCCCAGTCTTCCAGTCTCCCGTCAACACTCGTCGCTGACATTACCCTAGCCATATGAATCTGGACCATTTTATGGTGCACGATAGTGACGAGCTCAAGCCACCCCATGACGACAGCAAGCGGAAGAAGAAGAAGAAGAAGCCCAAGAGGAAGTGGACCGGCCGCTCTGCTGAGGAGATGGTTGCTCCCGAGATGGACCCCTCGGAATTCGATGAGGAGAATCCGGTCTACAATGTTCAGAACGCAGAGTCATACCTCAATTCGTTGAGAGAGGCCTTTTCTTACCTTCCCACTCCTATCGGAGCTGTTGGCAAAAGCGATGAAGAGGACGATCCTTATGATGAGAACCAGAATGCCGATTACTCTCAGAAAATTGGGGGCAGATGGGGTGAGCGATACGTCCTCTCGATTGTTGGGCCAAGCGTTGTACCGAACTACTTCCCGACGCTGAGAGTTATCGAATACAATATTACCGGACTCGATGATGTCAATGTCGTAGTTGGAGGATCTAATGCTAAGCCCAATGACGATCTTCAGACCTTGCGGAACAACAAAGATCCGTCTACCCCCAACCCACCTTCCAAGACTGCGCCTCCCGGTCCGGCCTATTCCATGCAGCCATTTACCTTTCTTGGCATCACGCAATATTATGCCAACCTTACGAGGATCAATGGACTCAAGAAGAAGGCGGATGACCAACACTTGGAATTGCGAGATTCCACCGAAGATAGAACTTTTAGATACGAGCTAGAGTACAACACGAGGACGGATAAGATCTATAAACTTAAGGACATGACCGTCAAGAGTTATCTGAAGCTTGCGAGGGAAATAGTTGACGCCACTCGCCGAGGAAATAAGAAGCAAGGCGACAAAGACAAGACGAGGGATATAGATGATTCTGCTGTGGAGTGCGGAGATTTAGATGTCAAAGAGGGTTGCGATGTTGAGGAAGAGAAGAGGAAGAAGAGGCGCAAGAGCAAGAAGCACCATCACAAGTTGAAGGATCATATCTGGCACACTTTTGTAAAAAGGGCTTTCGTGGGTACCATTGAGGGTGACGAGCTTGGCATGTGATTTCATTCAGGGTTTACATTAATTTCGGTTTTGGGGTTTGGTTCTGGTTCGGGAGGGTCATATTGTTTCGGGCTATTCTCATTGCGTGGCGTTTTTATGCTTCATTCTGATTTGGCGAGTATTGGGTACATTCATTTCTTTTCCGCGTTCTGGTCGGGTTTGCACATGGTTTATGACTTTTTCAACTTTGTTTCTTTATGCAGTTGGTATTACTGCCGGGTTTCATGGGGTTCAGTGTATGAGTAGAGTAATCCAAGTGGATGGTGAATGAGGTCAATTGGTAATTATTCAAATTGATGTTGCACTGCTCTGGCTTGTGACACTGGCACAAGGTGACATGGAACTGGGTGTACATTACTGTACAGTACCGTACACCCTGGAGTACGAATTATATTTTCATATCGCTATCCCCCGCCAACGAGTTATTTTACATATCATACCAGCACACGAGAATCTTTATCCTGGTGGCGACTTCCAAGACCGGAGAATCTGTTCTATCTCCACACCACCGAGGCGCTTCCGACAATACCCAGGGTTTCCATGTTTAGCAGCGAGACTGTGCCATCGCACAGGAATGCTCTACTACACCAATACTAAATAACAGATCTGCGGTTGAAATTCCCTCCCAGCGCAGCAAAATTTGTAATTTTTCCGCCTTTTCAGCCTTGGACCGAATCCCTCGCAAATGCGGAGAGCTCCTATTTTACCCGCTTTTCGGTCACCAACATCGCCTCCAGGGTTTCCCTTGACCTTCATGAATTGCGATTAAGGCACCGCACGTGGCAAGCTCGCCAGTCACCCACGCCAGAAATGCACACCAATGAACTCAGCCAAGGCCATTGCGTCTCGTCCCGTGGGCCCGGTGAATGATTCCAATGAAAACTGGGCTTTGGGGTTGGCGCGATTTCCGGGTGCCCTAGTGAGGGACTGGGGTGGGAAAGGGTGCAAGATCGGGTATAAATTAGGGCCTGTTCGGATACGATGGTTCCGTTCCGTTCGCTCATACAAATGACCGTTTCCTTCCGTTCTGAAAATTGGAAACGGAACGGCCGTTTGGTATCACTTGTATCAACCTTTCCGTTTCAATGCCATGGCAACAATAGTGACATTAATGCAAATAATGCAGAGTGAGTAGGAGGGGTGAAAGGTTCTGGTGGAGCATATGGGCAGTGCGGATTTAGGAAGAGAAATTTTGTCGGACCGTTCAAGCAACCATTTCACCAAGTCAAACCGTTTCACAACGGAACGGTAGCCACTTGTTCCATTTTTGCCGAACAGGCCCTTAGAAAGACTGCCACTTCCTTTTGCTCGGGGTGGTAGTTATCTCGAACTCAGTGCCTTGCGCAAGAACTTGTTTTGCCTGTTAGAGATATCCCGATTAACAACATTGTTGCCCTGCGTAAGGTAGACTCAAAGGCGAAGGTTTCACTGTCGCCAGGATCTTCGGTCACGTGTGCACCAAATTATCACAGGCGATCACTCGCGGTGCGCGGTTCTATGATATTGTCAATCGCGGAAACCTGCTTGGCTCATCTCAACTTCCGGTGTATCAAGGACTTTTCGGGGGCGACCACCTCCTTAGCCTTTGAGATGCACCTTTTCTTACAGTATATCTTCTGCTAGGAGATTTACGCGGATATGGAACTCTCGGTTGTTCGAAATCCCTTGTTGTTGCGATTCTTGATCAGTTCGGTGATCACGTAGTTGCTTAGTTGGTTTTCGGAGGGAATAGGCGAGTGGCTTCTATTGGTGGTGCTTCTTTATATCCCGAGACTATCGCTGTATAGTTTCCTCCCTCACCGGCACCATTAGATCTGCAATCACCCCAACGAATGTGGAAGGATGGGATGTAAATCAATGGGATAGCACCGGCACGATACTATCCATATGGGCTGCGAAGTGTGGTCGTGGGGGGGTATTGGTGTCACTATTGGGCAGAATCGCGTTGATCCTAATAGGCGGGACACGAGACATTATCTAGCGTCGCTCTCGCAAACTGCTGCATTTGGGTACGAAGGAAGGATGAGCCTATTTATGGGGTGGGGCTATCTCTTCGAGGGCCCACCCACCCCGACAGCCAACCCTAGACTCGGGGCAGGGCACTTGGGATAGCAGACCCAGGGCCGTGCAGGAGATATGCCGATCCGGACAGCCCAGAGAAATCCAGCCGAACGCCACCCCCCGGCCTCCAGGAATGGGCATGAGGAAGTGGTGAAGGTGCTGCCGGTATTTGTAAGGGAAGGCGGGCCTAAACATCCCAGACAAAAACCACAGAACACTACCAGTACTTCGGAGGCTGCTGTCCGTAAGAACGGGGTACTCACGGGGATGGTATTGGAATGGGAAGATGTCAACCCCGACACGTGCTACACAAGCTGGAGGCGAACACCATCCTCATAGGCCGTTGAAAAGCCTAGCGAGGGGGTGGTCAAGATACCGGTACTGTGTGTCCCCGGAAAGCTACATCTTCCGCCTCGACCTAGGCCTGGCGACACCTATCTTTCTTCGCCGGCTTCAAACCTAGTTATGTGCAATTCCCGTTACAACAGCATGTATACGAATTCTAGGGGGTTGACAAAGTTTGCCGCACTTCTGAAAGAAGCAGCGGAAGTTCTATGCAGTCCGGCCCAGATCAAGAAGCTCAAGCGATATCAAGCGAATGCCAGTAAAAAGTTGGATGCACTCCTGGTTGTAGTAGAAGAGGTTTTACATAGATTATAACAGCCTGAGAGGTTCAAGTAATATATGATACAATGGTTACGTATTCTATATCTTTTCTATACAAAAAAATCAATATCTCATCACTTTTCCTTTGGTATCCATAACAGTTTAAAGTTATTGTAGTAGTATCCTTTGAATAGGCTTAGATCTGGTGATTGGCTGGTAATTGTGTTGTTTCCATTTGGCTCAAGATTCCTCTATATTGGATAGAGTTACCTTTCCGACCTGGTACGATTTAAGTGAATTGAATGATAGCGAATTTTTGGTACATTCTTCAACCAGTATTTAAGTACTACTAGCCAATCTTCAAGCTGGTTCATTTCCTTCCTACATGATCACAAATTGAGTGAGATGGTTTCAAATTGCTCATCCCAAGCTGTTTTATGGCGTTGAACACGTTGGGTATTTCACCCGCCATACTGGTTGGCTTTATGATTTCTATTAGCAATTTAGCATGTTCACAATCAAGTGCTGTATAGATGAGGTATGACATGATATGAATGTGTGAAAAAGTCGGATTCCGTGAACAGCAACCACCCCATCTCCACAGAAAAAGGGTTAGGGGGAGAGGGAGGCTATGACAGCAGGTGGGCAGGGATAGGATACTATCAAAATTGTTATTGTGAATAAATCCCTAAATTCCAGTAACTGCCTTTTTCTTTCTTTCTTTCTTTCTTTCTTGCATAACAAGGATATCAAGCAGAACCAAGTCTCAATGAGTGACATGCAGGTCGGGTGCGATATCCACTTGCCCCCCTAGGGTGGGCAGATTTGTAGTGTGCGCGTGATGGTGAAAGAATGACTTGTGTATTTCCTAGCTACGACGCTGCTACTTAAGAGAAATACATGTGTGCCAAGCCTCGCTCCCTAGCGTATGCCAAACCCTACTGCGCAACCCCAATGCCCATGAGTAGCTACTGGTACCTAGTGCCAACACTTCCCCTACCGGTGCTATCTCATGAAGACTCTAGAGCTAAGTACAGTAAAACAAAATATACTAATAACCCCATTTTCATACTATCTCGTGCCTTATATACTACCCATAATCAACGCAAACTACATAGCTTAACAAACATCGCATGCCCGGTCCCCACCAAGGGCTTTGTCAAACAGTCCGCCAACATATCCTCCGTCCCACAGTATTCCATGACCACCTCCTTTCCATCTTCTATGACCTCCCTAATCCGACAGACCCGAACGTCAATGTGTTTAGAGTGAGGTTTATAAGTGGTGTCTTTAAACGTAGATAAGGATAGCTGGTTATCGTTGTAGAGTACGCTCGTCGCGAGGGTTGATTGGGTGACTTCTTTCACAAGTTCGCGAAACCATAGTAGTTCCTGAATTGCTGAAGCCGACGCAATGAATTCTACATCTGCTGTACTTGTAGCTGTAATAGACTGTCGTCTTGAATGCCACTGAATGACTGCTGAACCTAGTAGCAGTGTGTATCTGGTAGTCGATTTCAAGGAACTCGTATCCCCAGCAAAGTCTGAATCCACGAAGCTGTGAAGCGTCAACTGAGTCAACTTCACTCCCCCCAGACTGAGCCTGAGACGTCTGGTGCCTGCCAGGTAATGTAAAAACCTTTTCACGCACGCTCAGTGGTGGGCTGTAGGATCCGTGCTGAACCGCCCAAAGTAAGAAACCGTGAACGCGATATCCAGACGTGTGCCCATCACTATTCAGCCTAAACATCCGATCAGTTGCTAATAGAGTGCCTTCTTACATCGTTCATCGTCCCCGGTGCCTGCCTTTGGTTTGTCTCTTTCCATCGGTGCTCCCACCGGCTTGCAAGCGCGCATCCCGGACCTCTCCAGAGTGCACTCGATATATCCCTCCTGCATGATGTAGACTTTCCTCTCCTTCATGTCCCTTGATATGACCATTCCGAGGAAGTGAGTGACCTCACCCAGGTCCACCATCTCAAACTCGGCCTTCAACCGATTGTGAATGTCCAGGACTGTTGTAGGCTCCCCTGTGATCAGCAGGTCATCCACGTAGAGGGCGAGCATCATTCCATTTGTATGTGTGTAGATGCAACAGTCAAACCGTCCACGCTGGAATCCAAGTTTCGTAACCAGAAACGTATCCATTGTAGAGTACCAGCATTGTGGTGACTGCTTCAGGCCATACAGGCTGCAGTTGAGACGTGCCAGCCGTGGTCCCCCAAGAACCCCGTACGGGAGCTACACATACATTTCCTCCTGCAATTTACTACCTAGAAAGGCTATTACTACATCCATCTGATGTAATGCGAATCCACGTGCCCCTGCAATGGCCAGCATGATCCGCACACTAGCAAGACTCACTACAGGTGCAAAGATCTCTGTAAAATCTAGACCCTCTATTTGCAGAAATCCCTGTACGACCAGTCTCGCTTTGTATCTGGCTGTTTCTCCCTGTGGATTGAGCTTCCTTTAGCGTATCAGCTTCGTCGGGATTGCGTGTTTCCCGTCTGGAACACCATCCACGAATGTGAGTACTTTGTTTTTCATTATTGATGCGCATTCAGAGTCAACCGCGGCTTGCCACTGTTCTGCCTCCATGGTCTCCATCGCAGCCTTGTAGCTCGCGGGACCCA